GTGCCTTTTGATCTGAGGGGCTCATCTTCTGGCACTATATTGCACAATTTTTCAGGGCTATTCCTCATGTTTTCCAGTAATATTTCAGACAGTGTTCTTTGCTATTCATAAGGTTTTCACTGGCCAGTTCTTTGAGAAGTGGCTGGCCTCTTCTGTCTTCCCCATCAGTCTTTGTCTGGAAGCTCCACTGAAACCTTTCCACCATGGGTGACCCTTCAGGTATTTGAAATACTGATGGCATAGCCTCTACCCTCACAGCAACACACAAGCCACCACAATATGACAAACTGACAGATGAGTGTAATAAAATTAGAAATCAACAACTGGAGAAGTAAGGAAAAATCAAATACATGGAAACAGAATAATGTCCTGTTTAAAAAGTACTAGGTATTCAAAGAAATTAAAAATTAAAGCAAAAAAGTCCTTGAATCAAACGGGAATGGAAACAAAACATAACAAAATCTTTGGGATACAGCAAAAGCACTCCTCAGAGGGTAATTTATAGCAATAAACACACACATAAGAAAAAGAAGAAAGAGTGGAAATCAACACCTTAACCCAACATCTCCAACAATTACAAAAAGAACACCAAAAGAAGCTGCAGTCATCAGAAGAAAGAAAATACTAATAATTAAAGCAGAGTTAAATGAAACAGAAATCAAATGCAATGCAAAGGATAACAAGATAAAATTTTGTTCTTTGGAAGGGTTAATAAATTTTACAAACTACTGCCAAATGTAGCAAAGGAAAAGTAGAATATGTAAATGACATGAATTATATATGAAATAGATGAGTTTACAACAGAAACCACTGAAATGAAAAATATAATAACAGAAAACTATGAAGAACTGTACTCAAAAAAAAAAAATCTAGAAGAAATGGACACATTTCTACAAATACACTACATACCCAAACTAATACAATCTGAGGTAGAAAGTTTGAACAGACCCATAACAAAAGATGAAATCAAACAGTTCATTTGAAAAAAAAAAAAAAAAAACTCCCAACAAAATAAGTCCTGGCCCAGATTGTTTCACTGGAGAATGCCATCAAATACTCAGAGAAAATCTGACACCAATTCAACTCAAGCTATTCCAGAACATAGAAAAAGATGGAATATTCCCAAATTCATTCTATGAAGCAAGCATAATACTGATAGCAAAGCAAGGCAAAGACATCACTAAAAAAGAAGGCTGTAGACAAATATCCCTCATAAACATACATGCAAAAATTCCCAACAAAATCCTAACCAATAGAACCCAACAGCATATCAAAAAAATAATAGACTATAACCAAGAAGGAGTCACACTAGGTATGCAAGGATGGTTCAACATTAGAAAAACTATCAATATACTCTATCATATAAATAAAACAAAGGAAAAGAACCACATCATCATATCAATCAATGCAGAAAAGACATCTGACAAATTCCAACACCCATTCCTGATTTTTTTTTTTAAAGCGCTCAACAAAATAGGACTAGAAGGGAAATTCTTCAATATAATTAAGGGCATATGTTCAAAACCAATGGCTAACATTAGTCTCAACGGAGAGAAACTGAAAGCATTCCTCTTGCAAATGGAAAGCAGACAAAAATGCCCTCTATCAACACTTCTGTTCAATATTGTATTGGAAGTCTTAGCCAGAGCATTAAGGCAAGAAAGGAAAATAAAAGGCATCCAAATTGTCAAAGAAGAAGTAAAACTACCTCTACTTGCAGATGATATAATCCTATTCCTAGTAAATCCCAAACACTCAACAAGAAAACTACTGGAACATATAGAAGGATTCAGCAAAGGGGGTAGGATTCGAGGGTCTTTGACATCATCAGTAAGTGCCTCAATTCATCTTCATTGTCAGCAAACAACGTTGTGCCCTCTGCATATCGCAGTTTGCTAATTAATTTCCTCCAATCTTATTGCTGCATTCTTCTTCATACAGTCCAGGTTCTGGGATTATTTGCTCAGCATGCTGATTGAATAAGTACAGTGAAAGGACACAACCCTGATGCACACCTTTCCTGATTCTAAAGCATGCAGTATACCCTTGTTCTGTTTGAAAAGTTCCTCTTGATCTATGTATAAGTTCCACATGAGCATAATAAAATGTTCTGGAATTCTGATTCTTTGCAATTTTGTTGTTGTTTTTAAGTGCCATCGAGTCATCTCTGACTCATAGCAACCCTATACACAGCAGACCGAAACACTGCCAGGTCCTGTGCCAGCCACACAATCCTTGCTATACCTGACCCCATCATTGCAGCCACTGTGTCAATCCACCTCACTGAGGGTCTTCCCCTTCTTGGTTTACCCTCCACTTTACCAAGCATCATATCCTTCTCCAGGGAATGGTCCCTTCTGACAACATGACCAAAGTAGGTGAGATGAAGTCTGGCCATTCTCTCTTCCAAGGAGAATTCTGGCTGCATTTCTTCCAGGACAGATCTGTTAGTTCTTTTAGCAGTCCATGGTACTCTTAAGATTCTTCTCCAACACCTCAACTCAAAAACATCAACTCTTCTTCGGTCTTCCTTATTCATTGTCCAGCTCTCACATGCATATGAGGCAATTGAAAATACCATGGCCTGGGTTAGACGCACTTAGTCTTCAAGGAGATATCTTTGCTCCTCATCACTTGAAAGAGGTCTTTTGCAGCAGATTTTCCCAATGCGATAAATCACGTGATGTCTTGACTGCTGCTTCCATTGGGTGTTGATTGTAGAACCTAGCAATATGAACTATTTCACAAGTTCAATCTTTCTCCATCCATCATAAAGCTGTTTATCGGACCTGTTGCAAGGATTTTTGTATTCTTTATATTGAGGTTTAATCCATACTGCAGGCTGTAGTCTTCAATCTTCATCAGTAAGTGTCTCAAGTCCTCACTTTCAGCAAGCAAAATTGTGTCATCTGCATATTAACAGGTTGTTCATGAGTCTTCCTCCAATCCTGATGGCATGTTCTTCTTCACATAATCCAGCTTCTTGAATTATTTGCTCAGCATACAAAATGAATAAGTATGGTGAAAGAATCAACCCTGACACACCTCATTTCTGATTTTAAAACATGCAGTGTCCCCTTGTTCTGTTCGAATGACAACTTCCTGATCTACGTACAGGTTCCTCATGAGTACAATTCGGTGTTCTGGAATTCCCATTCTTCTCAATGTTATCCATAATTTGTTATGATCCACACAATCGATACTTTTGCACAGTCAATAAAACATAAGTAAACATTTTTCTGGTATTCTTTGCTTTCAGCCAAGATCCATCTTACATCAGCAATGATATCCCTCATTCCACATCCTCTTCTGAATCCAGCCTGCATTTCTGGAAGCTGTCAATATACTGTTGCAACCGGTATCCATAATTTGTTAGGATCCACACAATTGAATGCCTTTGCATATTGACATAGC